GATTCACAAATGCGTGCAGCTATCTACAAATGCACAGGACGTGATTCACAAATGCGTGCAGCTATCTACAAATGCACAGGACGCGATTCACAAATAAATGCCAGGCAAAGTTGTGGTTGTGACATAAATATATATTTGTGAATATGTTTTTTATTTGCAAATCTCATTTGATTTATTTGCGAATTTAATTCATGTTTGTGAAACTTTAAGATGTATTTGTGGATCTCATTCTATTTATTTGTGGATCATAATCTATTTATTTGGAATTAAGCAACAATTCTACCCCCATAGTTTAGGGGTAGGGTTGGTGTAGGGCAATAGAATATATGGTCTGTACAGTAGAAAAACCATTACGCCTATGGGATGTCCCCACTTTTCACAAAAACAAACCTGTGTGTGTGTGTGTGTGTGTGTGTGTGTGTGTGTGTGTGTGTGTGTGTGTGTGTGTGTGTGTGTGTGTGTGTGTGTGTCAAACACAGTTGATATTTGACTGGTACCTGAGGCTGTTCTGTTTAGCTGCCCCAGATTTGCCTGAGCTGTGCATTCAAGTCTTAAATACTTTCTAATACTTAACTTTTATTCGTCTATAAATAATCCCTATACTTGACCTGCTTATGCTGTCTCTTTTGCGGTCGAAGCCCAACCAATATGCTTAAATATAATTGTGATTCATTAATTTTATATAGGCACTATTCGAGGCAGCCCAGTGCTGAGAAGTTGCTGGGTCTTAAATAAAACACTCGTAATGAGGAGGCGCGATCATGGCGGACGTGTTGAGTGTTCTTCGCCTGTACAACATCCAGAAAAAGGAGATTGTTGCGAAAGGGGATGAAGTTATTTTCGGAGAATTCTCCTGGCCTAAAGATGTCAAGACTAACTATGTCATTTGGGGGTAAGTGTGCGCTTGTTCCGCTCAGTTCTTCGTCTTGTTTTGAGCTGAGCTGCTTTAGCCGCTAGTGCGCTACTGCTGCTAAACTCGTGTTGTGTTGACTTGTTCTTGTACAGGATAAAGTGTTGTGTGTCTGTAAGTCCGTGTAGTTACGTGCATGGACACTGGGAGATTGTAACTAATGTGTTGGCTGATGTTTAAAACGCACTGAGCTGTTTGTACAGACAACATTTAAAGCTGCACTGATGCTGCGTAACAACTTCTCGTTTGTTACTCTGTTGAATCGTTATTATCTGCTCTGATTGGGAGTTTAAAACTTTGTAATCCAAAGTAACTTGGTACCACAAAATAGGATCTCCAGAGTTTGTTTTTGGACGTAATATACTGGAGGAAAGTGTAAAGACCCATATGGAAATCAAAATATCACGTAACACTATCACTGTACCATGGAACCACAACAAGACTTTTTTTTTTTTTGGCTGGGTGCTCTAACTGTTCATGGTCGACTGTTCTGCACACCATGTTATGCTGTGGTTATTTTTTTTCATGTGTCATATTTAAGGTTTGTCCAAGGTTGCTGTGCTTTGTAACACATTTGGATGAAAATTTATATTTTTGAAAGGTTCCCAAATTATTGGCTTGTAGGTTCAGCTGTGATTAAATTTAAATCGAACTCGGGGTTGAAAATTTATTTTATAAATGCAAAAAAATATATATGTATATGTATGTATGTATGTATGTGTGTATATATATATATATATATATATATATTAGGGATGCACGATATATCGGCCACACTATATCTATCGGCCGATAAATGCTCATTTTTCCTGTTATCGGCCTGATAAGAAAATTTGGCCGATATCTTAAAGCCGATAAATAATCGTTTGCAGCCTTTTGTGCAATTGTACGTTGTAATATTGTGTTTATTTGATGTATATCTGATTTATCTCATATAGAATGCGTTTGGTTAAGTTAAAAGAGCGCTTCAGTTTACCGGTGATCGGCCTTCAGGTCATCTGCATTGTTGGGTCTGGTGTCTCATCTTCCTCTTGACAATAACGCAGGTCAAGTTATTGAGTTTGCAGGCCAATCTAGCACAGTAACACCATGGTTATTGAACCAGCTTTTGGTGCTTTTGGCAGTGTGGGCAGGTGCCAAGTCCTGCTGGAAAATGAAATCAGCATCTCCATAAAGCTTGTCAGCAGAAGAAAGCATGAAGTGCTCTAAAATTTCCTGGTAGATGGCTGCGTTGACTGTAGACTTCAGAAAACACAGTGGACCAACACCAGCAGATGACATGGCAGCCCAAATCATCAGCCCAAATCATCACAGACTGTGGAAACTTCACACTGGACTTCAAGCAACGTGGTTTCTGTGCCTCTCCACTCTTCCTCCAGACTCTGGGACCTTGATTTCCAAATGAAATGCAAAATTTACTTTCATCTGAAAAGAGGACTTTGGTCCACTGTGTTTTCTGAAGTCCACAGTCAGCGCAGCCATCTACCAGGAAATTTTGGAGCACTTCATGCTTCCTTCTGCTGAC